TTAGCTTTTAAATTCGCCCTTGTTTGACGGAAATTAAAATTAGAATTAAGCTAGTTGTATAATTTTATTTGTACATCTCGGCTGATATTTCATCATGCGTAAAAATTGAGGTGATTGATAACTTTAAGTGTTATTTAAATCAATGGCAAAAATGTATGTCACGCCATAGAATATAAACAAAACTGTCAATCAAGATATAAATATAGCTCTCAATTGGTCAGACCTTGTATTTACTCCCCAATGATTACCAGTTCTAGTCTTCTCGGACTACTAAGGTGAGTATCAGATCGTAAACTTTAGGGCCCCGTATAATTAGTCGAGGTGCGCACAAGTTGACCCGAACATCGACAATTATAAAAAAAAGATATAAATATAGCAAAACTGTTAAAAAGGCCCCCTTTATGTGGATTAAAATTAGATTTCTAGTAGATTTTGATAAAAGTTATAAAATGTGTGGTTGAAAAATTGTGAATTCCATAAAATGTGTAGTTAATATTAATTGTTGATTTTGACTTAAATTAAAATATCTACCAAACGATGACTAAATTTTTAATAGATTTTGATAAAAGTTAATAAGACGTGTGGTTGAAAAGTTTTGAATCGAATAAAATAACCGGAAAGAGAATAGAGAAGAATTGCATTACCAATAAATCTTTGGAAATCAGCCCTGCCTCAATTTTTCATTTTATAAGGTTTGGGAATGGGGGTAAAAAGCTTATTGAAACAATAGCAACGCCAAATGAAAAATATGTCAAGCTCAGGAATAATAAAAGTTACTTTTTAAGTGATTTATTTATTTATTTATTATTTTCATTCACGTTTTACCTTTTCCACTTTTAAATAAAAAAATTACTTTGACAGTAAAATTAAAGGCATTGAATACGAAGAGGCAACAATGAAAAATTGAGGTATTTTAAGATTATCAAGTGCTCAGGATGCAATCTTCTCACGAATAAGACTGTATAAATGATTTGCCTTTTTGAGATGTCACATTTCCGCATCTAACAATATGTCAACGGCACAGAATTGACTATCTTGGACACAATTTGCTGATTGATGCTTCATTCATAGCTTGTGGTTGATTGGGGTCTGTCTCTCTTGCCATGCTATCTGATCCACTTGAAATAAAATATGCAGGTCGTTGAGGAATAGGTAAATTGTCCGAGTAACTTTTAAGCATAAGAAGTATTGACGCCATTTTTGGTCTTTTATTGACATCTTCTTCGACACACAATAAACCAATTTGGATGCATCGAATGACTTCATCCAAAACATGAGACTCTTGCAAAGTTGGATCCATCAATTCCAAGGGTGCACCATTTCTCCAAAGCTTCCAAGCCTGTGCAAACAAAACTAGCCTTAAAACCTATTTGATTAATTTAGAAATTTTATTCATATTTATCTAATAATATGTTTTAATATGAACATTCGAGTACCCTAATTTACAAGTGGAATTGAACTTTGCACTCACATAGCTTATAAGGTCTCTTGTACCATGTGATTTGTAAAAGCCGTTACTCTTCTTGCCGCTTAGGATTTCCAAAATTAGGACTCCAAAACTAAAGACGTCAGATTTTACTGAGAATTGACCGTGCAATGCGTACTCTGGAGCCATGTAACCACTACAAGACAAAAATACGATTCCACATCATAAGGGTAGATAAATGTTGATATTGAAAATAATATAAAGTGGAGCTTACTATGTGCCAGCAATCCTAATAGTATTTTCTTGAGATTGTTCAACAT